CTGGCTCCTCTCCCTCCTCCCTGGCGGGTAAGAAGGCATGTCTTTTTTCCTCACCCCTCACCTCTGATACTCTTACTCTGTCCCCTCCCGTTTCGGTGGTCGGACCCCCCTGTCCCAGCTATGGAGGTTTCTTTAGCCCTCGATTCCCTGTCGGTTGCTGCTCTTGCTAAGGTGCGCTCCCTGGTATTTGCCCTCCCACTCCTCCTCCTCCGGATCCTGTCCGTCCACCTCTGGTCTGTCCTCCCGCTCCCTTAACTCCATCCTTACTAAGTTTACCCATGCCCTTCACCCCCCCCCCCTAACCCTGATTTCGCTGACCCTGATTTTGCTGACCCTGATCCTGAGCTTATTTAATATGCTGTGTTCTTCTACCTTTGTTCCTTCATTGTTCTCTGTTGCTGTCCTCTCTCTTTTTGACAATGTCTATTCTTCAATGGAATATTCGTAGATTTTATGCCAACTTCCATGAACTCTGACTTCTGATTACAGAGTTTGCACCACAGTGTATGTCCCCAGGAGCCAATGCTTGGTGCTCATCCTGGTCACTTTTGTGGTTATTCCTCCCCCCCCCCCCCCTTCCCAGCTTTAACTGTGGCCCGTAACTCTACTGCTCTCTTGACAGTTTAGTCCAGGCATGACGCAGCATTGAGTCATCCGTTTACTGTCGGTAATCTCGGGGATGACGCAGCATTGCGTCATCTGCTAAAATAATTGCCAAAAATCAGGTTTTTATCTGGTTTTGGGGGGACTGTTTGGTAATTGTCAACAAGCCGAATGCAATCTGTGACTACAATACAAACATGAAAGGTGTTGATCACTTTGACCAAATGATCAAATATTATAACATCATAAGGAAAACTCACAAATGGATGAAGAAAATGACCATCTATTTTGTGCAAATGGCTATCTACAATGCTTATGTGATGTACAACTACTACACAAAAAATACTAAACTATAATACTACATATACTAAAATACTAAATACTAAACATTTGTGGGCAAGAATTGGGAGTGTAGCTGGAAGGCGTCTGGGCGCTCACTCGCGGTTAACGCGTGGCCCGTCTTCAACTCGTCGGCAGGTGGAGCGTGACCAGGTTTTTTATTTTATATGCTTATGTTCCTCTAGAAAATTCTATAACGAACCCATTGATACCAAAATGAATGACCTAGGACGAAAATTGAGGTGACCAGAGTGAAAAGAGTGAACACATTTTATCGCTTTTGCGCGCTCCTGGGTAACTCGTTCGCACTTTCTCTGTTTGCTGTGGGTAATTAGCCGGGCTTTTGAAGTTTGTATGCATTTAGTGCTGTAGAGAATTCTATTGCAAACACAATGATACCAAATTTAATCTTGTAGGACGAGAATTAAGGTGACAAAGTTGAAGAGAGTATACACTTTTCAGAATTAACGTGCGCTCCCGTGAAACTCTGGGACCCAAATCGCACAGTTGAGGGGTGGCGGGCGGGGTACGCCAAAGTGTTAATTCGTATTGATATTCCTTTTATCTGTGGCCCGTAACACAACTGCTCTCTTAATTCGGATATTCCCTTCGTCCCCCTCCTTTTTTCAATCGCCTATCCAATGTTCTGCAGTCCGTGTCTTTGTGAGTAAATGGTATAAGGTCTGTCCCATTTATCTCCCCCCAAATGTCCCGCTTTTTCTTCCTGATCTTAAGCACCTACTGGACACCTTGCTGGAGCCTGTGCTACTGTTGGGTGATTTCAATTGTCGGCATACCCTCTGGGGTGACGTTCTGAAAAACACTCGAGGACGCCTTCTCGAACCGTTCGTCCTCTCTTCCTCCCTGTCTCTTCTGAATTCTGGTGACTCCACTCATGTGGGCTCCCGAACTCGCACCCTTTCCTGTCCTTATCTTTCTCTGCTCGTCGTTCCTTTACTTAGATTTCATGAGGAGGGTTCTTGATGACTTCCATAACAGTGAACATTTCCCCATCCTTGTTACCTTTTTCTCTTTTCACCTTCTCCTTCCCTAGATGGCAGTTTGCCAAGGCTGACTGGAACCCCGAAGGAACCCGAACAGCTGACAAAGCCAAACCCGACCCAGCGGGTAGACCATCACAGGAAAGTTCAGGCTCCCGCACAAACCCTCAAGCAACCTCCGAATGACCCGAGAGCCCCCCTGAAACAAAGGCCAAGGCGGGACTGCAGCCGAAGCAGAGCCACCAAAGGGAGTGACAAGGAAACGGTCCATGAGTCCCACACAAAACCCAGCCAAGATTGAACCCGAGAGAGAACCAGATGGGACTTCTTCCAGTTCACCAGGAACCCTAACCCGGCGAGTTGGGAAAAAAACAATCCCTGGTGAGCAGACATGCGGACCAGCTGGGAAACACCAGCCAGTCATCGAGGTAGGCCAGAACCCAAACACTTAAAAGATACAGACAGGCCACCATGACCCAGGTAAGGCATGTGAAAATGCGAGGTGCCAGATTCAAGCTAACTAGAAGGCAACGAAAGTGGTAACCCTGATGCCTCACAACAAAACCGAGCCAATCCCTGAACCCTAGATGAAACGTGATGTGTTAATATGTGTCCCAGAGGTCCAGAGACACCATCCAAGTGCCTGGCTCCAAAAGAAGACGGACCTGGGACAGAGTGTCATCCGAAAGGAGGGATAATAAACCTACAGGTTCAGACGGGACAAGTCCAAAATGAACCAAAGGTCTGTGCAGTCCCGTTTCAGAACCGGAAACAGGCGGGAAACAGGAAACCGACCTGAGGGACGGGGTCATTTCGACCACGCCCAAGCGAATTCATTCCGAGATGACCCGACAGCGCAGGAGAAGAGGCCTGCCCCTCCAACCCCGAACCCCCCGAAGGAGGAGGGCCGGGCGCGCCTCCCTGCTCTCTTCTGGGTAACTGCGGCCTGCTTTCATCACGTCGGCGGGTGGAGCGCGCCACGGTTTTTGACATTATATGCATATACTCTCGTTAGGAATTCTACTGCGAACCCATTGATACCAAAATGAAAGACCTAGGATGAAAACTGAGGTGACCAAAGTGAAAAGTGTACACATTTTATCGCTCTTGTGCGATCCTGGGTAACTCACTCTCACTTTCTCTGTTTGCTGCTGGTGGTAAGCTGGGCTTTTGGAGTGTATATGCTTTTAGTCCTGTAGAGCATTCTATTGCGAACACATTGATATAAAATTGAAAAACCTAGGACGAGAAATAAGGTAACAAAGTTGAAAAGAGTATACACTTTTCAGTATTACCAGTTCCGCTCCTTCGGAACGCCCAAAACCAATAGGAAAGGTGGAAAGTGCTAATATGGCACAAGTCAGTTTGGTAGCTTCAGAGAGCCAACGGGGCTCCCCCCATCCCCCCCGGTCAGAAAAAAGTATATAAAAAATTTCTGGCAAGCAATTTGCAAAACATTGTGAAAATAGTCACAAGAATAACTATAAGTGATAGGTGGTTGGTTCGCTGATAATCTATGCCAGAGAATAACCAAATTAAAGAAAAACATGCCAGGTCTACATCAATTTATACTAATTCCACATCAATATATAGTATACCACAAACCAACATCAGTACATAGCAAGTGCATACCAGGTCTACATCAGTACATACTAGGTCCCACATCAATAATTATCAATACATACCAGGTCTACATCAGTACATACTAGGTCCCACATCAATAATTATCAATACATACCAGGTCTACATCAGTACATACTAGGTCCCACATCAATAATTATCAATACATACCAGGTCACATCAGTACATACTAGGTCCCAGGTCTACATCAGTATATACCAGGTCCCACATCAATAATTATCAATACATACCAGGTCTACATCAGTATATACCAGGTCCCACATCAATAATTATTAATACATACCAGGTCTACATCAGTATATACTAGTCCCACATCAATAAATATCAATACATACCAGGTCTACATCAGTATATACCAGTCCCACATCAATAATTATCAATACATACCAGGTCTACATCAGTATATACCAGGTCCCACATCAATAATTATCAATACATACCAGGTCTACATCAGTATATACCAGGTCCTACATCAATACTAATTATTAATACATACCAGGTCTACGTCAACACTTACCAGGCCAACGTCAACACTTACCAGGTCTACGTCAACACCTACCAGGTCTACGTCAACACTTACCAGGTCTACGTCAACACTTGCCAGGTCTACGTCAACACTTGCCAGGACTACGTCAACATTTGCCAGGTCTACGTCAACACTTGCCAGGTCTACGTCAACACTTGCCAGGTCTACGTCAACACTTACCAGGCCTACGTCAACACTTACCAGGCCTACGTCAACACTTACCAGGCCTACGTCAACACTTACCAGGCCTACGTCAACACTTACCAGGCCTATGTCAACACTTACCAGGCCTACGTCAACACTTACCAGGCCTACGTCAACACTTACCAGGCCTACGTCAACACTTACCAGGTCTATGTCAACACTTACCAGGTCTACGTCAACACTTACCAGGCCTACGTCAACACCTACCAGGTCTATGTCAACACTTACCAGGTCTATGTCAACACTTACCAGTCTACGTCAACACTTACCAGGTCTACGTCAACACTTACCAGGCCTACGTCAACACTTACCAGGCCTACGTCAACACTTACCAGGCCTACGTCAACACTTACCAGGTCTACGTCAACACTTACCAGGTCTACGTCAACACTTACCAGTCTACGTCAACACTTACCAGTCTACGTCAACACTTACCAGTCTACGTCAACACTTACCAGGCCTACGTCAACACTTACCAGGCCTACGTCAACACTTACCAGGCCTACGTCAACACTTACCAGGCCTACATCAACACTTACCAGGCCTATGTCAACACTTACCAGGTCTATGTCAACACTTACCAGGTCTACGTCAACACTTACCAGGTCTATGTATACACCGACCAGGCCTTTGTCAACACTTACCAGATCTACGTCAACACCTACCAGGCCTACTTCAACACTTACCAGGTCTACATCAATAGCGCTCACTTTGCCTTCGAGCTTATACTTGCGGTCCAGGTCATAAAAATAATCACCTGAAAGGAGTAAGGAAAGGACATATAATTGTTGTCTCATTCTAATAACCTTACTGTTAGTACATCTTTTTAAAGTCATCCATAATTAGTTCATTCCTGATTTTTTTAAACTGTCATCCACACTCATTACACGCTATAAACTGTCATCCACACTCATTACACGCTATAAAATACCATCCTCAATCATTACATGCTATAAACTGCCATCCACAATCATTACATGCTATAAACTGCCATCCTCAATCATTACATGCTATAAACTGCCATCCACAATCATTACATGCTATAAACTGCCATCCTCAATCATTACATGCTATAAACTGCCATCCACAATCATTACATGCTATAAACTGCCATCCACAATCATTACATGCTATAAACTGCCATCCACAATCATTACATGCTATAAACTGCCATCCACACTCATTACATGCTATAAACTGCCATCCACACTCATTACATGCTATAAACTGCCATCCACACTCATTACATGCTATAAACTACCATCCACACTCATTACATGCTATAAACTGCCATCCACACTCATTACATGCTATAAACTGCCATCCACACTCATTACATGCTATAAACTGCCACCCACACTCATTACATCCTATAAACTGCCATCCACAATCATTACATCCTATAAACTGCCATACACAATTATTATAACCTATATAACTACCATCTATCTCTTTATCATCCTTTACAGATGGCACTTTTTTGGGGGGGGGTTTGTCTTATGCGGTGAAAATAGTCATAAACCTGAATTACACCTCTAAATTTTGGGAGTCGACCTATGTGTCGGATGGACTTGTATGCCACCATATACGGTAATTCTGTATTCCATCTGGTATATTATTTATGTAGATGATGAACATTACTGCTGCAAGAACTGAACTCTGCGGGACTCTGCCAGTAACTCTCCTCCAGATACAATGTCTCTGATTACCACCCTCATCTTTTTCAGAAAGATTTTCAGCAACGTTAGAAGCCTTCCTGTCGCATCTCTAATATGTTCCAGTTTCCAGAACAACCTCTTATATGGAACTCTGTTAAAAGCCTTTTTTAGGTCCAGATAGATGCAGTCAACCCAACCATCTCTCTATTGTAAAATATGTGACTATCATAGAAACCATGTAAACTTTCCAGATCGAAAACCATACTGTCTTCTTATATTGTTTTCCTCGAGGTATTCTACCCATTTTATTATACTGTATTTATTTGTTCCAATATTTTGATTTTTACAAGTGTCAATGATTCAGGTCTATAAATGAAGGGGGGGGGAGGGTGATCTTCCCAGCTGCCACCTTTGTAGATTGGAACCATGTTAGCCTTCATCCACATATCTGCTAGGACGATGCCTGAAAAATTAACTGAAGTGGAATGCTGAGCTCAGGTGCACATTCTCTCAGAACCTAAGATGAAGTTCCATCTGGGCCAACTGCTTTGTTTTTACTTAGCTCCTTGAACATTTTTTCATCTTGTCTCTAGATACCTCTATGTGCTTTATGTTATTCTCTTAAATTTTTATCTAAATTTAATTTTTTAACCCACCCACCTGCCTGCCTGCCTGCTCATCCATCCACCCACTTGTTTACCCACCTGCCTGATTGCCCACCCACCCACCTGTTCACCCACCAAGCCCATCTGCCTGCCATCCACCCATACAAAACCTACCTGCCTGAACCCACCTATCCCTGCCTGCCCACCCATTTGCCCTGCCCACCTACTAGCCAGGCAGCTAACCACCACCCAGATCCACACACTAATTAGTGTGTATCAATTCAAATCATGATTGTGGTATAAAAATTGCTGGAAATGTTCCCTTTTGGACTCCGAGGTGAAAAAGTACATTAATCCGGAAAATGTGCTAATCCGGCTGGGGCTCCTTCCCATATAGTCCGGATTAGCGCGTTTATACAGTACTTTTCCTGCTCGCCCTGCTAGTAAACAATGTAGAAGACCTGCAACTCCTGCCCAAAGGAGATTTATTGCAAAATAATACACCCGTGGAGTCACTTGTGGTGGTGCTCCCAGTACAAGGAGCATGGTTGAATGTGTGTGCGAGAACTAATATTTTTGTACCACACAAACCTCAATTTGATGCTAGTGATGTAGGGGGTTGCACCCACGTTCCCGTACGAAGGGCAAGAGCTATGAAGAGAGGTTAGAGGCATTAAATATGCCAAAACTAGAAGACAGAAGAAAAAGAGGTGATATGATCACTACAAACAAAATAGTAACAGGAATTGATAAAATCGATAGGGAAGATTTCCCGAGACCTGGAACGTTAAGAACAAGGTCATAGATATAAACTAGCTAAACACAGATGCCGAAGAAATATAAGAAAATTCACTTTCGCAAACAGAGTGGTAGACGGTTGGAACAAGTTAGGGGAGAAGGTGGTGAAGGCCAAGACCGTCAGTAGTTTCAAAGTGTTATATGACAAAGAGTGCTGGGAAGACGGGACACCACGAGCGTAGCTCTCATCCTGTAACTACACTTAGGTAATTACACTTAGGTAATTACGCAGGTGAGAACATTGCGGAAAGTGAATATTTTATTTCATATTTTGATCAGCAATAAATGAAACATCTGGTTGAAGAAACAAACAGATATGCAGGGCAACTCATTGCGGGTGGCTTATTACCTGCTTCACATACGATACGTTGGCAGGACACCACCGTGGCAGAGTTGTATGTGTTCTTTGCTCTGTGTATGCTCATGAAACATTTGGTGAAACACATAACACAGGATTATTGGAACAAAGACTGTGCTGTTCCAACCCCCAGTGTTCAACAAGTACATGTCATGAGACAGGTTCCTGATACTTCTACAATAACTACACTTTGAAAACCTTGCAAATTTTGATAGAAATGATCGACTTTGGAGAGTGAGAAAAGTTTTCAGTAATATCAGAGGTAAATTTCATGATTACTTTGTACCTGGACAGAATCGTGTCATTGATGAATCCCTAGCTCTTTTTCAAGGGATATCTTCTCTTCAAACAGTACATCCCATCGAAACGGCACCGCTTTGGTTTCAAATTCTTTTGTACTGTACTGTGCAACTGTGAAACCAGAATAGTGATCGATGTATTATACGATATTCCGGTACAGACGTAGACATACCCGCTCGAGATCCTCACAGTTTTTCTGGCAGTGTAAAGACGCTCGTGGAACCACTGCTGAACAAGGGGCACATTCTGTACACTGACAATTATTATACGAACCCCTTGCTAACAAAGTTCTTGCTTGAACATAACATGGGAGTGTGTGGCACTGGCAAACAGGAAAGAAATGCCAATTTTTTAAAATAATATCCATGTAGATGATTGTGAACTAAGAAAATGTGACAAAATCTTATCAGTGCATTGGAGAGACAGATGTGAAGTCAATATGTTGTCAACTATTCATACTCGTGAAATGCTTGACAGTGGCAAAGTGATGTATCGAGCTGATGGAAAATTGTATAAACCAGATTGTGTCATTGACTACAATATAAATATGAGACTGGGAGATAAATGTGACATGATGGTTGGTGCCATCGAGTGTGTCCGCAAAAGTGTAAAGTGGACAAGGAAATTCTTCTTTCATCTTGTGGACATAACAATGCTATATTGTTTTAACGTGTATTTGGTGAAAACAAGCACAAAACCATCAATTCCAGTTTTGATGTGTATTAGTGTGTAAATAGTGTGTGAAACTGTATACATTATAATTTAAGTGAATTTTGAACATGTAATATTGCGACAATAAACATTTATTGTTGACACAATACTGACATGTACCACAGTTCCATGGAACATTATGAACATTCTACTATACACATGTTGTAAAGGACAAACATGTGCATCATATACGATCATAAAAACAAATAAAAACACGTTGGAAATTACATAGAACAAATAGTAAAAAATATAATTGTGGCAACTCGGGTTGCTTGAATGGCCCGTGCGACTGCCTCTGGGAGCTTTACCAATGAGTGCACAGCAAATGATGACATCACACTTCCCCCTTCTCTACGTCCCTACAGCCAAAGTAAGTGGAATTTATTATTTTTTTTATATGTACGTGTTCAGGAAAGGGAACTGATCATTTTACAAAAGAAAAAAAATTGTGAACACTTGATTTTCGGCGCACAGGAGAGATGTCCCATTAAAGCCGGTGCATCACAGTGGTTAAGAAACATAGTTTATAAGGAAGAAAGTGAACTACATGTGTCAGGCTTTAAAAATAGAGTGGAGCAGAATGGAGTTTATATTGTGAAGTGAGTCACACCCGATGCCATAAGCAAATGGAGCTCAGATGCCATTACACAAAATACACCACTTCATCAGAAAACTTCAACATTAACCACATTAAAGAGTGCTCTAGTTTACTAAAAGAGCCACTAAGTCTAAAACACTGCAATGTGCCGAGTTTATTGTCACATCCCCCCTGTGCGCATAGAATCAAGTGTTTGCAAAATTTTTTTTTATCTTTGTAAAATGATAAATTCCCTTCCCTGAACACGTACATGTAAAAAAAAAAAAAAAAAAAAAAATCCACTTACTTTGGCTGTGGGGACATGGAGAAGGGGGCGTCGCGGGGTGGTCGCCCGTGCATTTAGCTCCCAGAGGCAGTCGTGCAGGTCATTAAATACCACGAGTTGCCACAAATATATTTTCAATTATTTGTTCTATGTATTTTCAATGTGGTTTATTTGTTTACTTTTTTATGGTATATGATGCATATTTGTGTCCTTTACAATATCTATACAGTAGAACTTTTATAATGTTCCATGGAACTGTGATACATGTGTCAGTAATATGTCCACAATAAATGTTTAGTTGCAATATTACTTGATAAAAATTCACTAAAATTACAATATGTACAGTATCACACACTATTTACACAGTAACACACTGTATTACACACTCAGTACTTCAGGAGTGAGTGATAATCAATGAAGCAGTCCATGGTACACAGCACAACTTCGCTCTCGTTGCACCCGGT